AAATTTTCATTTATGTAAATATGAATTCAAACAATAATTTATGATTTGTCCTTCTTTGGTATGAACATGCTAATAATATTGTGTGGAAAGAAAAACAGTCAATGTACAGTTCAATTAGAAGGTCAAAAATTTAAATGGGGTAGTATTCTAAAGCAGAAAATACCAATATGGTAGACTTTTTTTTATTTGAGTGAATTGGCGAGTATAACAGTTTCTCAACATGTAACTGTGTTTTTGGCACAAGTACGAAAACGGTGTCCGTTTGACACTTCTTAATAAACTGTGTACAAAAATACCCCTGCCCATGATGCGCGTGTGATGGAAACGGGCAAGCAACAATGTACATCGTAGGCGGCGTGGACGTTACCCTATAGACTGTATTTTCAGTACATTAAATGTGCGGGATGTGTTAGTAGCGGAAAAAAAAATTTGAAAACGTTTAAATTATATAAATAAAGAGGTATGTGCTAGTGTTTAGTATTTAAGTCTGGGTTTGTTGCAGTTGACGAACATTAATAGAGGCCATTAATGGAAGCAGAGAATATGTTCGAGGTAAGAATGTACTCGTCCTTAGTTTTATGTTTTGATCGTTTCCTAACGGTGTACATGAAATTGTTTGTACAAAAAGATAACAAGTTTATGGTTTATAGCAGGTAACTAGAGATCTAGTGGTCATTATGTGTGGGACGTGGGAATGCAGAAGAAACGGTGTTTGGGATTTCACGATTGACAAGAAGCAGATGGGAAGATGCGTTAATATGAGTGCGACCTTCAGATCGTACACGTTAAATCTCAGTTCAATGTTGGTGCACGAGTGAAACCTACGTTTACGTACTGGGTTCCATGTACGATACCCCTCATAGATACCGTAAAGAATCCACCGGTCGCTTTTACGACAGATGAGGGCTTTTACAACTACAAGGCCATGAGAGCCATGAATAAAGGAGTAACCCTATTTGTTGAGTTCAGATCCGTACAGTTCCCAGGGCAAGAGTACAGTGCAGACGGTGGGTGGCACAGAGAACTCGTGTACAGCCCAGAAGATGTATTCCCCGCTAACTGTACACGAGCGAGTGGAGACAGTCAGACACCACATAGTCTAGAAGGTGACGTACAGGCAACATAACCTCCATGTCGCACAGAGCGTGTGATTAGACTAGCCGAAGATGAGGAGCTTGTTTTTGAAGGGGAGGATGAAGCAGTTTGGGGTGATGACCCAGCTTCAGATGAGGAATTTGAAGATTCTGACGGGAGTATTAGACATGAATCAGAAGGCGAGGAAGATGAAGAGTACGATATGGATCATTGGACTGACCTTATAAGTCGTGAGTATGGGGCATGGGCGGACGAACCTAAGGATGATGGAACGACTTCGGGCGTGGACGGCGCAGAGGAAACGGTGGAGGAAGAAACACGGCAGCTAAGTACATTCGTCCCGCTAAGCCTCCAAAATATGTACGCCGACATACGTAGCGACGAAGGGTTTTACGCTGTGGACGCCGCGCCGATGTTTGATGAGTTCGATGAGATTGACCGAGACCTTTGTTATATAGACTTTGCAACAACAGAAGATGCAGTGTACAAAGGACAGACGTTCAAGAACAAGAGAGAGTCTCAGATCACATAAGCAATCTACGCGATTAAAAGATTATTCCATTTCAAGCAAACCAGATCAACGCCAAAGAAAATTGTGTGTGCATGTGTGGATCCAAAATGTGACTTCTATGTTTACGCAGCAGGGGTCCCAAACTCAGACTACTTTGAGATACGCAAAGCTATGCTGGAGCACAAGTGTGATATTATGTCACGCGCATAGTACACAAAACACGCAACAGCGAAGGTTATTTCTGAACTATGAAATCTAAGTATGTTAATGGAGCATCAGGACCACGAGCTTGTGATGTACCAGCTTTGGTGCTACAAGAGTTGCATGTGACGGTGACATACTGGAAAGCGTGGCGGATAAGAGAGTTAGCCTTCTGAAGAGGTCAGACCCTGGTACACTATG